TGTGACAAATGTAACCAAAACCACTCTTAGCTACTATTAAAGGGGAGAAGAGGTTTTATTGATCAAATATCCACACAAAATCTTAAAAATGCTGTTGTTTATCAAGTAGTTATTAAAACCTGCAAATCCTTTAACATGCAAATACTTCCAATTTTTGTGCTCAGAAGGTCATCTTCTCCTTCCTCAACCCCCACCAAAGGAACGCCAAACCAACCCAAATCATCCTGCTGGTGAATCCAAAATAAAGACTTCTTTGTATACCACTGAATTAAAAACGAATTCAGGCCCAGAAATCTTGCTCAATTTCATATATTCAAAATGATAAACTTTGAAAATTTTCTCCAGATTTGTCCAATGCCAGAAAACACTTAGTGCAATTCTGTACTTTGAACTCTTTGAGATTATTTCATCTTCTCAGTTTCCCTCAGTAATTATTCTCCCTTCACCTTAAGGTTTACTGCTAATATTAATGTCACATACTAACAGTATGGGAGTGACAGAACAGCCCCTCTTCCCCAAATGATTCTGAATCTTCTCAGTTTAACTGTTTTATATTGGATTATGAACCAGTTAAGTCATTAAAACTCAAGTGAATTGTAACATATCACTATTACATCCAGGGAACATTTCAGGTATTAGGAGGTGAAATGACTGTGTGCAGTATTCTTAGACCACAACTTCCCTCAGGATTTTCTCAGCAGCAGTGCTAAATTAAGACATTCTTGGACCCTTCAGCTCTGCTGAAAACGAGAATCAATTCACCATTCAGCTCTTTGCATTTGGCCCCAGTGGCCCACGAGCAGTTAAGCAGAACCCACAACAGAAGGGCCTATTCTCATCACAGATCAGCTGATTGTTGTAGGGCCCATTTACACCGTGGACCGAAAAACTGTTGCTGTACATACAAATGCCACACAGGACATACCTTACAACTCAGCCCCCTTCTCACATCCATTTTCTTTTCCACAGGTACAGCACAGTTTTTCAATAAATACTCATCCTAAATAAGCTCAGTGGTACTTAATCAGATCTCAGGAGTCTATATATCCCTTTGCTAACACTGACCTTGGCTGGGAGTAAATCCCATAGCTGTTAGTGGTTTGGCTATGCCTCTTTACAGAAGGAGCACCAGCGGAGCTGGTTAGAAGGTCCCTTTAGTAACACCGGAACATCTTTACCTATTTTCATAGCACTAAATCTTGCTGTCATCAGACATTGACAAACTTTCATGGCACTGAAATTTTGGATATCATATGTGTTACTGACGTAAAAACTATGCTTAAGTTTAGTTTTTGCCTATAATAAGTGAAATACATTTAAAAAAAATAAACAACTTGCACTGCTTTATAGCTCTACAATGCTGATACTTGTACGGACAAAAGTAAATATAACAGATGAAGCTAATGACTTGGTCTTTCTAAAAGATGTAAAGAAATCACCTTAGCTTGTATGAGTAGTTTTACTGAACAAGCAGGGTTACTCAACACAGTAAAAGCTAGTTATATATGTAAATATTGTATGGTAAACTGCTTAGTAACCAAATTTATGCTTTTCAGCTGATTCTTATTTTGACATTTTTAAGATAGTATCAAATCATCTGGAAATGGGTTTTAAAACATGCTTGATCATTTTGAAAATCAAATTAATACAGTCAAGTGATAATTATATTTTGCCTAGATTCTGCTGCATTGTAATGCTTTCATGTCGCCCCAAGAGAGCTTGTTCAGGACAATTTTCATTTATTCTTGAGAGAGTCTAAACCACGGTACCAATCATGAAGTACAACAACCCAATATAATGTGTGCTTCATAATTCAAAAATGATGTGCTGAATACTCTTGTGATTTATTTAACATAAATGTCTACACCCTCAGCCGAGGATTTTCAACCTTTTCAACTCGCAGATCCCCTTAGCGGTCTGTAGCCATGCACAGAAAATTTATTTCTAACAAAACCAGACTTGCTTCTTTTAGTTACTTCCCACAGACTCCTTGCTATTATTTCACAGACTCCAAATTTCTAAAAGTAGTACTGCAGACTAATTACCTGGAGCTGGCTGGTAACAAGAGAGATTAAATTAATATATATGTAGTAGAGGACTGGGACTTGAGAAATAATATTCCATATTTAAACTCAACAGTGTAGAGATCATTAGTTATTTTGAACACGACACATTTCCTTCTTCAGATATAGCAGCAATTAATAGCATAGCGTAGAATGAAATAAAAGGAATTTTATTTTGTCACTGAAAAAACCCCCACATTGCAATTCAACAGTGAATTGGGATTAAATAGGCTGGATTCAAACCAACATTACAATTCTCTGATCTTTGTAAAATCAGCTCTTACCATGTTAGGGGAAAGTGCAATCTAAGTAATTTACATGTGGGTTTGCTACAGAGGTGATGAAGGTAAGCAAATCCACATCGTGCCCAAAACCTTAGAGTAGCGTAAGCAAGGTGCGTCAGCAGAACAAGAAAGTAAAATATTTTTGCACTGATACTGTAGCCTTTCAACCAATTTTATTTATAGCTGTTTTTAAAGATAACTCTGCAAGCATTTGCTGGCTGGTGACTGGTTTTGGCTGGCTTACATAAAGGTGGGAGTGCGCTGTCAGCGGGTGATGTGCTAGCTCTGCCTCTGGAGTACTTCTAGAAGGGGGAATCAGAGGAACAGCAAACTGAGATACAAGAAGAGGTGGGGAAAGGACTTAGAAACCTCATACCGAGCTCAGTTATTTTGTTTCCAAACCCAACATCTATGCATGTCTATGCATGAGTCGAGCAGTCATTGAGAGGCAACGCGTTCATGGAACAGGAGGTTATAAGTACTTGTAGGGGTCTTTTTCACTTTTTCAAAGAACTGTAGTACTGCTCTGGAAAAAAAGAGGCCCTACAGGTTTGTCACAAGTTAAGAGTTAATGTGGTTAGCAGGCAGAGTCTAGAACAGAGATAAGGCCAAAGCCCAGCCCTCAGGATTCAATGCAAGATAAAATATCTGATCAATCTCCAGACTGACTTGTACATCACCTTGAACTAGCTCAGGATCAGCCTGCAGCTGACAAATTCTACAGGTGAGTGAGAAGACTGTGCACCTGGGAAGAACCAGGTGGAGGCCTGGCAGATCGGCATCCCACCTGGGGACTCCCAACTAACAGGTACAGGGCACGACTACACCTACAAACTGAATACAGAGACTGCCAGGTTTCAGAGAACATGATATATTTAAGAAAGTTGTTTAAGCTGTTGCCCGCTCCAAAGCGGGGTTGGTGGAACGCAACTTTTACATTCATCTGGAGAGGCTTCATTTGCAAAGACTCACTCAAGCAATAGCAGAGGGGTTTAGTTTAAGCTCCTGAAGACAGGAGATCACCAGAACCGTGGTACTTGCCAGAGGATCAGCGGAAACGCAGTACTCACCAGAGCACCAGGGGGATGCAGTACAGCTAGGTCCAGCAGAGTGAATCCCCACCGTGAATTCTGGAAAAATAATTTAAGTGGAATTTAATGTCTGTGAAAACTGCTCAGTAACAACAGAGTGCTGCTTACAAAACTTATTTCAAACCCTTTTGTCTTTGTCCACCATGGCCTGTTTCCTCAAGTACTGTGTTTAAATTAGGTTTGTAAACAAGAAGGTAGAAAGGACCTACATGCCACAACTACTTGGATAAATACTGAGAACAGCAAAGAATTGGGTAGGATATAAAAGCAAAGACTGGAGGGTGCCAAAACAAGTAATGATATTTTCTTGAAAGGAATGTCTGATTGATAGAAAGTCCAAGGAATGACTTCGACAAACAGCGGCAAATAGCCAGCCCCCGTGAGTCAACCTCACACGGGCTAAACGCTGCTGTTCACGGGCCACAAAGTGCAAACAGCACCAACATCTGACAACTGCCACACCTTCAGCCTGACAGATCAGGCGATCCCGGCTTCAGATGGAGGGCGAGAGCACAGAAGCTGGGGTGTCCTGGAAGGGGCTCCTCAGGAGCCACTGACGGACAGAGCTGCCACGGCCAAGGTCTCCCAGCTCCAGGGGTGGGAGGCAGACAGGCCAGCCAGCTCCAGCCGCCTCTCCCGAGCAGCCCCGGGGGGGCAAGGGAGCCCTTCCCCACCGGGAACGGTTTATCCCCTGGCAGGGAGCTGGCACCTTCAGCCTCGGGAGCCAGCCGGGCCGAGAACCCCTGGGGAGAGCCGAAGGGGGCTGCTCGGGGACCCCAGCGCCCACCAGGCCCTCCCGCGCGGGGCGAGAGGACGCTGCCGGCAGCCCCTCCGTGGCAGCGGGGACCCGGCCTCGGCAGCGGCTCCCCTCCCGCTGCCTCCGCGGGGGCCGAAGCGCCATCGAGCGCCGAGCACGTCCCGGCAGCCTCCCTCGGGGAGCGGGGGGGGGGGGCCCGCCGCTGCCCGGGCACAGGTCCCGGGCGCCGGCTGCGAGGAGCGCCTCGTCCCCTTGGCGAGGGCCGATAGGGCGGGAGGGCCCGCGGTGAGGAGATAACCGGGCCGTGCCCTCCGCCGATACGGGGGCAGGGGCACCGGGGGCTGCCGGTCCCGCCGCCCTTCTCCCATTGCCGTGCATCGCTCGGCGAGCCGGGGGCAGCGCGGTTCTCACCCGCGCCGGGTGAGCCCGCCCCGCTCCTGAGGGGACCCCGCCA